TGTGTGTGTATATTTTATATATATATATATATATATATATATATATATATATATATATATATATATATATATATATAAAGGTATAGTCAGAGTTCAAAATAAGTAGTCACTAACCAGTATTTGTTTTTAGTTCGATGCATTACCATATTATAGACATTTATTATATATAGTGGATGCCTTAGACTTGTTAAACAGAATAGTCATATCGTATATATTTTAATAATGCAAAGTATACCTAGATAGGGTTCAATTTTATTATAATAATTACATAATATTATCATATTTAAAATTAGAAAATGTAAAATAGCATTAATCCTGAAAATAAAAGTTAAAAATAATCTTTAAACAAAAAAAAAAGAGATTAATGTGTTTCTCAATCAGCGGAATCAGGTCACAAAGTGCAGAGGTGCAGTCCATAGTAAGAAATTACAACAGAAGCAAGGATGTGTTTCTTTCTTAATTATTTTGTAACATTGTCATTGTAAGTTGAGTTTTAATAAAAAATGAATTATAAATTTCATTTCAATAGATTTCATATAAACTTAATTGATTGTCCTTTTAGTTCATGGTGCTAATAATGCTCCATACCTCAAAGAACTTGATAGTATCCCACTCGTCGTTCAGGTCCAACAATGGGTTTCTTTTATGGTAGGGATTCACTGAACTTATGGTGAGACAACATTTGTCAAAACCTGTACTGCAATCTAAACATTCACCAAAAATAGTTTTTCAAGTCAGATTATTACTGATTATTATTGACATAATTACTAAATTTATAACACAAACCGACTATATTAAGAACCAATATAACTATGATTATCAATGAGTGGGAAGAACATCCTTACCAATTAGTCTCAAAACACTGTTCTTTTTTTGTATTTTGTTATTTACAGACAATTTTAATTTCTTTTACAGAATCATACATCCTGTTCAGATACTTTTGGGTTTCACAGCTTTAGCCATTTGCTTTGGTGTTTTTGTATACTTCACCAATAGCCAGTATAAAGCAAAGCGCTTTAAGCATGACCACCCAGTGTTCTGTGTTGCCGCTATAATAGCTGCAGGATATTTTGTGGTGTACATGTTGGGAGCAGTGCTTGTCTTCATGTTTGGAATTGCCTTTCCTATGCTCAGTAGGTGTAACATGTATTTTTTACCTTAGTCTGGCTCTCCATAAATGATGTCACTCTGTTTAGTCAGAATTTTTACCCTCTCCTACAATCTTATTATAATTAAATTTGTCACAGAAATTATACACATATTGTCACTAACTCATCATACAAATTGTCACTAATTCATCACACAAATTGTCACTAATTCATCACACACAAACAACCCAGTTGCATGACATCATTTTGGAAAGCCCATAAGTCGGCATTCATATTCAGAAAGGCTTGTGTTGAATTATAATGTAAATACTAGAAATAATGTGTCAAAATGATAGAATGAAAAAAATGTTTTGAACAAGTTTCATCAAGAGGAAATAGTCTAGCACAAACCAGATATACAGCAGCGAGTATTGTCCATCAATGTATAAACCGACATCATAGGATATATAATAATAATGAAGCTTATTCGAAAATCAC